CCAAGTGGACACACACCCTAGCCTGACATAAGACCACTATCTGCCAAGGCTTATATAAAAAAAGACCCACACCCTCCAGGAGATGACGTGAATCAAACTTCACCATCACAACTTGGGACCAAAAGAATGCTGGTCAATAGCCTAAGGCCATGAGAAAGAGTGGCAATATTCTGCCCGTGTTTACGTTGGCAGGGCGAAGCTGCTGTCTGAGAAACAAAGTCTTGCACATTTGTGTGTAGAGAGATATGGATGCTGTAAAGACTGTCCTGTTCTTTTCAAGCTCTTAATCTGGACATTTTTTTCTGACATTTTCTGAACAGAATTCAGCAGTCTGTGTGTCCTTTCTGTTCAGTCAGTTCAATTCATGCCATCTTGAATGACCTCTATCGCCAAACCACTTGAGGGGATATATTGGCAGAAATGGACTATGATATGAGTATGTTTCTTTAGTGTATATAGTAAATACGAATCAATGGGTTTTTTTTTGTTACCTTAGACTGAACCATTTATATCTACATTGGGAGCAGGTCCCAGGCCCCAGGCCCCAGGCCCCCAGGAAGTGCACCAGACTTTGAAGCCAATTTTCACAGTGGCCAAACAGTGTAATTACGCCTTCCGAATCCGTCATGTGATGCGTTTTGGCACAAAAGGACTTTTTCCCATAAACTTACATTTAAAAAAAAAAAAAAAAGACGTCTGTAAATCACTGGATACATTTTTCCGAGCGTCACAACTCCTGCAAAATGACTCGCTTCACTATCAGGGGTTCATCTTTTCAGTGCGATAACATTTGGAAAGTCTAGAAAAATTGCAAGATTAAATAATTTTATCCCCATTCAAGTCAGCGGAGCACTAAACTGGAAGTAGCTGGTTCGGTTGGCGGAAGTCTCAAGTTCACTTGCTCTGTGGGCCCAATGATATGGAGGCAGCGCTGATCAAACCAGTAATTTCATGCCAAGTAAATAAAGCTTTTTTTGGCTTCATGTGCCACTGAATAACTTACAAAGGAATAAACAGGGCCCCGCCTCCAACACTGTATCCAGATCTCCTTATACATCCATGGTAGGTCCTGGTTCACTGAGTCCGCCATGTTGCCACATTTCTCCTGTAGCCCAGAATGGACAAACCAAACACTGGCTCTACATAGGACCATTCATGTTTTCGGATCAGCCACTGTAGTTAGCAGCCCCTACATGACAAGCAGTGTCGGAACGTGAAACTGCTTTATTCAGTGTTTTTACTGGTTTGAATCATCTGGTCCGTTTGATTTGGAGAGGAGGAGAACTCCGTGGACAATTCGGCTCTTGATAAAAACCTCCTGAATGTCTGGATCCTAAGTTATGACTCCTCCCACATTCTCCACGCTAAGCGCAAGGTTTTGCCTTCGGGAAGACGATACAGGATGCCCAAGTTTCAACTGAATCATTTTAAAAATTAATTTGTTCCAACCTTAGGGGTTGTGTTGTGTTTTGCTTATTGTGCTCTGTTGTGTGCTTGTATTGTATCGCATCGTATCTTAAGTTATCAGAGCAAAACGGTGAGCACACATTAGCAGGTGCTGGGCCAAACAGCATAGGAAAAACATTGACTTGTAGCGAAGACTGCTTTATTCTATGTTTTTACTGGTTTAAATCATCTGGTCCATTTGTTTTGAAGAGGAAGAGACCTCTGCGGATAATTCAGCTCCTGGTAAAAACCTCCTGAACAATAAACACTGAAGGGACTCTAACCAGGAAAAGTTTCAGTTGGTTGCAATCTGCAATCCTCACCACTAGATGCCACTAAATCCCCCTAAATCTTCCACACTGCTCCTTTAAGTGTGTGTCATACAAAATAACTCTACTGAGCATTGATGGCTTTGCACTCACAAACACATGCACGCCACAATTGGAATTTCCTAAGCATGAGTGAATAACTTTGTTTAATGTGGTATATTCTAACAGCAATTGTCACAGCTCATTCAGCTCCGCCTGAGGCCCTCTCATAGCAACAGAAAGACTCATTGTAGATGACAACCTGAAATGAGCAAGACAAGATGTTTTTCCCCCCTTTGCTCCAGAGCAGATTTAAAGCTTGGGTTTTCCCCCAAAATCTTGAGAGAGCGACAGCTTATAACATACTCCAAGAGGCGTTGAATGACATCATCCAACAACGCAGTCCATGCCCATTTCAGCGCTACATATTTGCATGGCTGCATAACTACTGAATGACAGCCATGGGAAGTGGGAGCATAAACTAAATCTGTTTGCCAGAGAGTGGAGGTGATTGGCCTGCTTATACATGACAGGGATGTTTGCTCTGATTAACAAAGTTAAACACATTCACTTATCAAATGCATCAAAGGCTCTTATCCTGTCTCTCCTGCATCCACTTATCCTTTTGCTTGTGTTTGCCTGAATCAGTGTTTCTAGCCTACAAAATATAAACTAAGGTGTTCGCCAGCTGCAGACATTATTAAAGGGATAGTTCAGATTTTTTGAAGTGGGGTTGTATGAGGTGCTTATCCATAGCCAGTGTATTACATATGAAAGATGTCAGTGGGCACGCCCTGAGTTTGGAGAAGCAGGCTGCAGTACTGATACTGAAGTTAGTGCTGACTGACAGTATGCAATATGGATAAGTACCTCATATAACCCTGTTTAAAAAAATCCAAACTATCCCTTTAATCATGTTTTAGATAAGTCTAAGCCTGCAGTAAGCTGGTACAACATATATTCTGCCAAGCTAATATTGTGATGCCACAATGTCTCTGACTCAGCCCGATGCTTGAAAATGTACTTTTTCTTCTCTATAAGCATAATATCTGACCCCATACACATGTTGTCAGATAAATGGTGACTCAAGGCCTTGTGAAATGACTTTGCTGGTTTCCATGGTTTCCAAATAAGAGACAGAGATGAAATTAATAGTCAGGCTCTTCTCTGTTTTGCAGAAATACTACAAAGTATGCTTTTAAGACTGGCCTAGGATCAGCTGCCACACCCATTTGCCCTTCTGGGGCTAATGACATCACATTACTGCCACTGAATCTGATGAGGCATTCATTAAACCTCCCGAAACACCATAATTCCACACTGAGAACGAGACACAACAAGACAGGAGCTGTGCAGTAGAGCGCCTCTGCATGTATCAGTATAAAAAGACAAAGAGTCTTCTTTATGTAGATCAGGACAGCGAAAATCAAGCATGAAACATTAAATTTATTTGCGTCTCTGAACAAATAATGACGTCATATGGGGCCAGACCTCTGACCTATATACCACTGCAGCCACATAGTCCTATATTATGAAAAGGGTCAGCAAGGACGCATCGTCTCTTGTGACTTGGCTGGTGGCGCAAAATGAATCAAAACAAAAACAGAAACAGCCGCAAGTATGAAGAAGACTGACAGAGAAAGGTTCAACTGGCAGGATGTAGATCACAGTAATGATAGCAGCAATAAATCATTCCGTGTATTCAAGTGTGAGGTTTCCAGTTTTGTTTTTTGGAGCCAAATGTGACCATGCCTCTGAAAAATTCGCACCGCGATGCCAGTTGGACACAAGTGTCAACAATGTGGCAGGTCTGTGTGATCGGAGGACCGCTGTTGAATGTGGTGAAGAATTGAGGGTGGGTCAGCAGGCTTGAGACAACACCCTTAAAGTAGAAATCACAAGCTGTCTGCTAAAAGCTAAAACAGGGACAAGACGTTTATGTCTATGGAAGATACCATTTAAAATAATCAAGATCACTGAACTGTGCCTTGTATTATAGGCAATATGCAAATATGGCAAACAGCCAGATGGGCATGGCTGTAGTCACAATTAGGAGTGGCTAAAACAAAATTCTAATTATGGAGATAGTAAGATAGTATAATATTTCAATCAACTACAATGACAAACAAAAAAATACAAGCATGATTATTAGTTGTATCTAAAAACGTCCCCATATCGAGGTTTTCATTTCTTGGCGGGGTGTGCCCCGAGTAATTAGATTTCCATGTAAATCTAATTACCATCTGTTAAGCTGCTGATGCAGACGGTATGTGGTGTGCGTTTCTATTGTGCAAACTATGAGCATGTTCCGCCGTCCTCATAATCTTTTCCCTTTTAAAGTTAGTTATTTTCATCAGCCTGGAACACTCCTCTGAGCCCTCCCAAGGTCACTCCAAAACATTTCCCGCCCCTGTGCCCGTAGATGGGGCCTAATGGCTCTGCAGAAGTCGTTACACATAGGGCTGAACTAGAAACTAGTCCTGCAGCAACACCATCCAAGCCATACATCACCCTGCAATTAGCAGCAGGCCTCAGACTGATTGGGAGTGGACTGCCCAGTGAGTCCACACATGATCCCTCGAGCACGCACACACACACACACACACACACACACACACACACACACACACACACACACACACACACACTCACTGTTTGCAGATGGGAGAGGGAACTATTTTTGCTCTCTGCTGAAACCAAGTCTCATGTGGTCACTTTTGTTACATGTGGCCGCATATACATTAAACATCTTTCTAATTCGTTGGAGTTCTGTGACTCAGCAGCAGTAAAAACTGATCCTGTTTTTCATAATACACATACCATTTTGAGGCTGTGTTGTTTGTGTGTGGCTTTAATCCTTTTACACACATTCAAACACATATTAGCTCCACCCAGATGCGCTGCAGGATATAGAGCGTAATTATTCTCAACTGCAACTTTCCACTCCTGAGCATACTCTTTGTGTCTGCAGCCACCCCAGCGCTAACCATGCCTCTTTACATCTGTGTGCAACCTCATGGTCGAACACATCAAAGCAAACCCCCAAACTAGCGTTTTAAAAGCCACCGTTGATGCACACATACCGCATGACGTAAAATGGAATTTTGCCTACTATAATGTCAGAGACAAACACAAAGGAGCAGCAAAAAGTTCAGTTCCACTAAAAACACTCTGTGTGGATAGATAACTCTCTAAGGAGGGAGGGAAAATTGGAGAGGAAAAGTAGATACTATAAACAATACTCACTGCTGAGCAATAGAGCGCAGAGCAGCAGAACTCCAGCCATCCTCCTCCAGAGCCCATTCATTCTCCACATGGATGCAGCCATCCTCTCTGGTCAGCTTCAGCGCAGCCGGTGGGACTGTGCGAGAGTAAAAGTGTGGTAAGTGATAATGAGCAAGCGTGTGAGGGCCGAGGGAGCTGGGAGTTTCCTGTGAGGTCTAAGTGAGCGGGACAGTCGAGCAGGATAAAGCCTGGCTTGTGTTCTGTTGCTCTTTATATGGCCCCGCTCCTTTGGCCTCACTCTCTCCCTCTCTCCTTCTGCTCTTTCCACACCCCTTTTCTAACCGCCTGCTGTTAACCCGTTTCCCCCAATGCAAGCGTCCCTGCCTCCTCCCTTGTTCCTCTGTGTGTGTGTGTGTGACTACACATGTACACATGTACAGCGAGCGCTAGAACCAGTAGTGGGTGACATCCTGTTGAGCTTTATCTTTATTGCAGCTTTGTTTCCTGATGTAAATGTTGGGAACTCGCTCATAGAAGTTTGCAGAGTTTGTGGTGTAACTGTTCCTGCAGTGATGGGGGCTGTGGTTACACCTCAGGAAGGTTTCAGGGTGATGCTCTGGCAGACACAGTACAAATACAAGCTGTTTCCAGTGGTCTGTTTGTGAAAAGAACAAAAGAATTCATTGTATCAATTCATTTGTTTGTGTTATTGTTTGGTGTTTATAAGGGTTAGTTCAGATTCAGCAAAGTCACACAATAACACTAACTAAGTGATGGAGGCAGCGGTAGACCAGCAGCTCCTGTGTTCAGCTGGGAAAAGTTACTGTTTATCAGTAGAGTCTGGCTTTGAAGAGAGCATAGATAAGTTTCACTTCTAGTTAAGTTCCCTGTCAGACAGGGCGTCTTTTTGGGAAGTACTGACTTATGACTGGATTCCACTGAAGAAGTTGTGTGGGAGTTAGTAAGTGGATGTTTTGGTATAGTTTTGCTGTTGTTAAGTCTGGAGTCTATGACTACAGTGCATCAAGAATTATTTCTAATTTTGGATTCTTCTTTTCAGGCATTGAAAAGATTCTTCAGCGTGCAAGAAAAGCGAAGTTTTCTTCACAAATTCAGTGTAACAGGCATTGAATAATTAATAGGGATGCACTGAAATGAAAATTTGTGGCCGAAGCCGAATAATATTAAACGCTTGGCCGAATACCGAGTACCGAATACTGAATATCGTTGTTTAGTTTTTCATTAGTTTTTGCAGATGAACCCCCTCCAGATTAGTGTTGTCACGGTACCAAAATTGGATCCCCAATTGGATCATTTGTGTATCAGTTACTCACCCTGTGTTATGTTGAATTCATGAGGAAAACTATTTCTTTTGTGCCTCCACAGTGAGAAAGAATCCAGAAAGAGAGAAAAGTTTTGAAGAATTGAACTCATTTCACAACAGCAAAACTATATCAAAACATTCATTTATTCAATTTCCAACAACTTATCCTGTTAGGGGTCAGGGGGGCTGGAGCCTATCCCAGCTGACATTGGGCAAGAGGCAAGGTACACCCTGGACAGGTCACTAGACTATCACAGGACTGACACATAAGCCCTTTTTAAAAAGGAATTGTGCAAATTTGCAGGAAAGCCCAATCAGTCTTCGTTCAGCATTGGCAGTATAAAAACAAAATCAGGGAGTGCGGCAAAATGCCGCCTGCCTACTTTTATTTATACAGAATGCGCCTTTTTCAGGGCAATGGGGGGCGTGAGCAAGTAACAAAATGTGTAGCTCAGCGTGTGACGTAACCAGTGACGTGGGAGGGAAGCCGCGGCTGGTCAGTCTTTCTGTGATTCTCTCATAAGTTGGCCCGTCCTTCACCGTCCCCGTCATCTGACGGTTAATGGCCTCTTCGTTTGCGAGGACAAGGAGGGCGCGCAATTCCTTGTCTCCCCAGTTGCTCATCTTTACAGTGTCTGTCAGGTTTGCGTTTCGCTCTTGCTACTAGCTGCTGGCTAATTCCTGCTATCAGCTGTTTCCTGTTTATCCACCGCCAGTGGCTCGCATGTGCACCGTCATCAACAGCCCCTCCCACAAGTCATCAACAGCCCATTCCGTTGTGGAAGGCCACCTCGGTGTGTTTAAACTAAAAGGGTTCAGCCAATATGTCTACCCTACGAGGTGGAAAATTGGGCACCTCGGATCAACTCACCAATCCGGCTTTGTGTGTCTAAACTCTCGCAGCTTGCCGGCAAAATGGCCCAACATTCGCGGAAAATCTGGCAGTGTGAAAGGGGCTATAGAGACAGACAACCATTCACACTCACATTCACACCTACAGACAGTTTAGAGTCACCAGTTAACCTGCATGTCTTTGGACTGTGGGAGGAAGCTGGAGTACCCGGACAAAACCCACGCTGACACAGGGAGAACATGCAAACTCCGTACAGTGGGGCCCCCCACCCCCGGTTCCAACCAGGAGCCCTTTTGCTGTGAGTCAACAATGCCAACTACTGCATCACCTTGCTGTTTACAAACTACCACCCAACTTGTGCAGTATAGTCCAAGTCACTTAACTCCTTTCACATATGCACTGCAAACCTGAAATTATCTAGACTTTACACGAAGGAGCTGTATGTGAGAAACGTCCAAATCAGTTTGATCGGACATTGAACAGACTTTATCCTACCAGCTCCTCCATACAAAGTCCGTGGAATGTCCAATTAAGCTCATGTGTGAATAGAGCAGGTAAATGTCTGAAGAGAGTTTGGTTTGGATACTTCTGTGGCTGAGGGTCGAAGCCGAAATCGTCAGACAAATGAAAAGTACAGCAGGAGATCTGGTTGTTTTTGACCAAATTAGGATTGGATACATGACTGCAGGTGTAATCTGCATCCTGCTTCCTGCATGCTCTACCCAGGTGCCAATCCTCACCTAAACCACATGTATTTACACTGGAATATCGTGTTTCCAGTAGGTGTACTCCTGTTGTCTGCTACATGTGTGAAAGAGATACTCCTGACAATGTCCAGACCTGATTCTGCGGACATTTTTGGGGAGTCCATTTGACTCGAATCTTAGTTTTGCTGTTGTTAAACACAGCCCCCTTTTGCTCATATTTATTAAGAATTTTCTCCATTTTTGGATTCTCCGTTGATCATGCAGGCATGACGAAAAAACTCCAGCCCTCTCTCAGCCCCTGACAGGATATGCAGTTACAGAAAATGACTGAATTATTGTTTTAATATATCAATCAATTCAATCAATTTTATTTATAAAGCCCAATATCACAAATCACAATTTGCCTCACAGGGCTTTACAGTATACGACATCCCTCTGTCCTTATGACCCTCGCAGCCGATGAGGAAAAACTCCCCCAAAAAAAACCCTTTAACGGGGAAAAAAACGGTAGAAACCTCAGGAAGAGCAACTGAGGAGGGATCCCTCTTCCAGGACGGACAGACATGCAATAGATGTCGTACAGAACAGATCAGCATAATAAATTAACAGTAATCCGTATGAGAGAGAGAGAGAGAGAGAGAGAGAGAGAGAGAGAGAGAGATGCAGGTAATGACAGTAGCTTACAACAACATTATTGAAAGTAATAATATTATAGTTATAACTCTGGCTACTGTGGTACAATATGTTGAAAGTATGTATTAATATCTGGCAGTATACATGTGTGACAATAGTCATATGTGTATAATAACAGTAGAAGTATGACTAATGACTAATGATGGCAGCAGCAGCAGGAGGCATCTGGCAGGACCACGGCAGCAGCACAACCACACACGTCACGCTGTCCAGGCACCGCTGCGATATGAGTTAATCTGAGAGACAGTGGAGCACAAAGGCTCCGGAGAAGAAGCCGAGTTAGTGACATCCAGAATGGCCGAGTTAGCAAGATGCAGTAATAGAATACGAAAGAGAGAGAGAGAGAGAGAGAGAGAGAGAGAGAAGGAGAGAAGGTGCCCGGTGTATTATAGGGGGGTCCTCCGGCAGACTAGGCCTAAGTCAGCCTAACTAGGGGCTGGTACAGGGCAAGCCTGAGCCAGCCCTAACTATAAGCTTTATCAAAGAGGAAAGTCTTAAGTCTAGTCTTAAATGTGGAGACGGTGTCTGCCTCCCGGACCATAACAGGAAGATATATATAGATATAGTTTTGCTGTTGTTAAATGCAGCCCCCATGTCTTCAATCCTTCAAGAATTTTCCCAGTTTTGGATTCTTGTGAGGCTCACAAGAAAAAGCTCTCTTCACAAATTCAATAAATTCATAACACAGGATGAATAATGGGTATACAAATGATCATTTTGGGGGTGAGGTATTCCTTAAAAGAAGCTGAGTGTGTCCTTATCCTCTTATTTGACGGAGCACCTGGTAAACAGGAAGCACTCCTCCTGCCTCCTACATGTTGTGTACATAGCTGAGAGGCCTGTAAAAGCACATGGCGTCGCAATGATTGGCTCTGGTTTTTTGTGTGTCCCTGGACAGATGACTAACAGCCTACAGTGAGTCATCCATTGAACCGCACACGTACACGCTTACACGTACTGTACACACACTTTTTTTTCTTTAACTTTTCTTACACGGTGTAAGGCACACGCGCTGACATCATAGATAAAAAACACATGCTATTTCGTAATTACACCACATCAGCAGAAAAGTGACAAACTGTTGCCCCGCTGTGTGTTGTAGGAGTGTGATGCTGGGTGTTCACCGTTCATGTTCACACAGTGATGTGCTGTTCCAGAGAATCCAGCCAGGCAGGCCACATCTGGAAGCACTGCAATCCCACCGCTGGGTTTTTGAGGACTGCCTGGAGACTTGCTTGTCAAACAATGCAACCATATGGGGCAGATTCAAGCCAAGATCCGGCTGGTGTCTGAGAACGGGCGCTCCCGCTGGTCAACCTGCATGTTTCAGACCAGATACTTTTTTAAGTTTGTAAAGGGGCCTTGAAATCAGATTCACAATAATAAAAGTGAAGCTATGATTTAAAAGGTTTAAGGTAATTAAAAAAGTCAAATCCACCATTAAATTTTTTGCAATAGCTTAGTACATATGTTTGTACTTATATATTTCCAAAACAAAAGTTAAAGAGATTTTGAACATGTCTTGCTGGGAATCATTTCACTCCTTTCTGTGATTCAAGTGCGTTTTTTCCAGATTTATATGTTGGGATTAGTCAGTGACACTCTTAACAGGAGAAATATGTAAAACTCTGGACAAAGAAAGCAGCTCAAAACAACTCAAACCAAAATGGGCAGGAACTAATTAGGAATCAAACAATTGTGTTATGTG